TTAATTATTATCTTTATAAGAAAATTATATTATTAAACCAAATATAAATTACTTCGTTATTGTACCTAAATTAAATTATAATAAAAAATTGAATTAAAAAATTACACAAAAAATAGAAATTTTAAATAGTTAATTTGATACTAATATCGATATATTTTTGTCAAATTTTTATGATATCTTCAAACTTGTATTTCATTCAAAAATAAAGCATCATCGCTTTCTCAAAATCACATAATACCATATTATAACATCAACTGAGATAAAAAATAAAATAAAATATTGAAATCAAGATATATCTCGCAGCATTGCGCGAGTACACTTCTAGTTAATTAATATATGTAATTATAATATAAGATTAAAAAAACATAAGGGATATAATAAAAATATATATAAAAAGTTGAAGGGTTGAAACTAAAAATATTAAGGGTTAAAATTGAAAAATAAAATAAACTTATTATAATGTATTTTAGTGTTTTAGTTGGAGAGGGTATAGAAAATTTAGGGTCAAATACATAGCAGGAGGTGGGGTTAGGAAACCCCTATAAGAATCTTGTTGGAATGTGTATCGGTTCTCTAGGTTCCCATTCATTTTTCAATGGAAATTTTGTGGGCAATTTTATGGGTTCTTGAAAGGGATGTTAGAATATGTTGTAAATGTCATCATTGTAATTTTGGTTGTTAATGAATATTTTTGTAATATTTGTTATAAGTTTGATATTTTTATTGTTAATGTATATATAAACACCCTTATGTTCATCAGTCACATATTTGTGTTTTTAGTATATAAAACTTATGGTTCGAGAAAAAAAAATCTGCATATATCTTACTTTTTATATGGTGTGGGAGTTGGTTTAATTTTTGGTATAGATTGTATTTGTCTATTTTTGCGATGGAGATGGATTTGAGTGAGAAGATTTTTTGATTGGAAATGAAAAAGGTGAACCCTCTTGTGCATATCTTACATAGTGACGAGTTTGAGACTTCAATTAATGCATCATCCTTGTATGTCACGATGGTCGGTGCGGTGGGCAGGGAGTGAGGATGATGGATGTGACGACGATAGTAGTGGCATGATGGTAGGTAGATGGTGATGTGATAGTTGTGACGACAACAACAATGACATGGTGGTCAAGTGGCGAGGTGGATGGGGTTGGGGATAGCAATTGTGACGACGACAGTAGTGGCATGGTGAGTTGAGGTTGGGTGATGGTTGTAACAACAACAACAATAGTGGTGTGGTTGGGGTTAGGTGTGGGCATATGCCACGTAATATCATGGTCGTGGTTGGAGCATGGGACGGAAGGTGTTGATTAAACCGGATATAAAAGAATGTAATTCAATTCATTCACTTATGCCAAGGATTTATTATTTCACTAATTTGTAAAATATGAAGGAATCTAAAGAATTCCGTCTAATTTAAAAAATGAACAAAATAAAGGAATCGAATTATCACCTAAGGATTTTCATAGAGGGTTCTCCAAAGTCTATGAAATTAGTGAGTGACTGCATTTGTTAGTTTATTTAGTTCTATTTATCATTAATGATATTTAAATGAGATATTTTGTGTCGGACTTGTTGCTATGCTAATTAATTAATGGTTACCAGATTGGCCTATGGCTCTCTTATATTGCTACAATCCATCCATCTTCATGCATCTGATCTGACTACTTTTTGCATTCTGTCATGTTTCTATGCTCCTTTGTAACACAGAAGACTTTGATCACATGTAAGTTCAAAAATGGGGATATTTCCAACAGTGGGCCGTGAGCCCACCAACACCATCCCAACCCAATGCCCACACATTTCTTCAACCAATGTTTCTTTACCACGTGGAGTCGTCATAAAACCAAGGCTCTCATCTCATCTATGGAAATGGACTTTGGTTTGTTTGGTCAAAATCATGGAACAAAATACGAAGTACATAAACTTTTTGTAATTTATAAATTTGGAACGCATAATTAATTCAAGTAAAACCGGTTTTAGTTTGGTCAGTGTTTCTGGAAATTAATCGATTCCTTTTTCATATTCCACACCACCATTAATATTATTCCTTGAATTTGACATCACCATGCCATGCAATAACTCTTTATTGGTGCATTCAATTTTAGTAGTTTAAGATATATTAACAAAACCCCTGTTCCACCTCCACCTCCACCACCACCACCACCACCACCACCCTTATCAACTTCATCCCACCTCCCTCCTCTCGACCTTCTCCCGACCAACTCAATATTCTCCTTGATGGATGCAATGGAATTCTGTATAACCCTTTACCATGAGGCTATGGTGGTGGTGGTGGTTGGTTGGTTTCTTCCCCCCAAAAATATGAAGTCATCCTCGTTTTTTACTTTAAGGGGGGCAGGCCCAATATCATTTCCCAAAAAGTAAATGGAGGACATGTTCAAGGTTTGACACCAAAATCATGCTCATTGGCTCTCCGGTAAAGTAAGGCTGAAGCTTCCACCCTGTTTTCATTTTCCCCAAAAAAGAACATCATGTTAGATTCATTTAACCAACATAACAATTTCTTTTTTTTTTTTTTTTTGAGAAAGAAAAGGATTCATTCAATACATACCAGCCAGGATGCACCACAAATCTTCCTGTAGAAAGGGCCCAATTAACCTAATACAAAAAAGTAGATAAATCAAGCTTCCCTAAACATGTCTGTAGCAGTATTTTTTTAAGATTATATAAAATCGGGTGACAATGAAGTACCTTATCAGTCCCAAGAGAATTGGCAACCACATGGGTGACCTGTTCATCTATTTGATTGGTGCATACCGCACCAAATTGTTCGGCAGTTTGCCATAACGGATGCAAGTGAGGACTGGCTTCACCCACAGGGAACACCCTGCTGAATACAATACGACACCCACCTAAAATCTTTCTCTGCTCGGATGCTAGTATATTTCTAACATCGGCATCATCTAAAGATTGTTGCAAGAAAAAGTTTCGATGTATTTTCTCGATAACCTGCACTTCAACAAGGCTAATATTAGAGCAGGTATGGTATGATATCCTCGAATCTTCACGGCAAGTGGATCACAGGTGTTTACCGCCAAAGAAGATGCCAATGTTCCGTCCTCCGGCCTCTCATCATGATCAATCTCTAGAAGCGACGGACCTGGAAGCCCAAACTGGCGCCTACTACATGGAAAATATATATATCTGCGAAACAAATACAGTTGAAAGTTTAGAAATTAAAAAGGAATAATAGACAAGAAACAACTACAGTATGAATCAAGGGTCTCTATACCTTTCTACGACTATTAAGTTAAGCTTGTTATGAGGCCAGACTCTTATAGAATCGTCTATAATTACAACTGCTGACTCCATACCCAAAACCCCTTCCAAGTCCTTACTCTTGGGATCTCCATCAACACTATCACCATCATCACCCCTCGAGATAACTCGTCCATTGAATAGAACTCCTTTTGGATCAAGCACTTTGGCCATCTCTGTAGCATATAGTTTGTTTCCCATTGTATATAAATGAAGCTCATAAAGCTTACTGGCCTGAGGTTAGGGAAAGCAAAGATTAAAGATTCTAACAGCTGTAGTGAGCAATTTGAGATCTTAAATTTTTATTAAGCAAAATGTTTACCTTCTCTAAGAAGTTCCATATCCCAGGCCGCAGTTTGGTCCACATACCCATGTGCGGAAATCTAAAGAGATGCCTATGTGGCTTCTCACGGTCCTGTTCTTCTTTCTTTTTCAACATCTCATCATGCATTGGTTCAATTTCAGAAAACTGGCAGCATTGACATAGCAATTAGATTTAGACTCCCAAGCAGATTTCTCTCTATATTAAATATAACAATAGCAAAATAAGAGGAGAATCAATACCTTAGCTGAATTCAGAAGGGTGTGATCTAGATCCAACACAAGACATAGCTTGTGGTCTGCAAACATCTTTTTCTGTTCTTCCATTCTTTTTGACCTCTCCCTCTGAATGGCAGCCCGCTGCTGGTCATCAAACCGTCCAAAATATTGCTCAACATCCCCCCAAGCATTCTGTGGTTGGGAGGGGGTCGAAGGAGCTTCTTCAGATGTCTTCCCAATCCCATTCTGAAGGTGGCCTGGCTGTGCAGGTGGCCCTTTCATATTCACAAAACTTGGATGGACCTGTGCAGGCTGTGATGAAGGCGTTTGAACAGAGGCACTTGCAGTTGTCTGGGACACAGACACAATATCCGCAATATTTTTCAAATTCTTGGTGAATTGCCAGGCAATATCCGGTGCTGAGAGAGGTTGGGATGATAGAACTTTTGGATCTGCTTGCTTGGGGTTCCCCTTAGTCCCTTCGGCAGTTGATAAATTGGTAACCGGTTGATCAGGACCCACAAAACCTGGCTTTTGTAATGATTTACTGTGCAGAGCACGGCGAGGATCACGAGGTTTCATTCGTACTTTGCCAGAGTCATCCTGCAAAGCATCAAAATTCAACCATGAAATAGAAATATACACTTGGAGATCATATGACAATAGCTTAATACTAGAAATAACACTTGCACACGAGAAAGTGGCAACTAAATAAGCTTTCATCCCAAAAGGCCGAACCAAGCTAACATCAACTGTACGACCCACACAATGGTATAATGAGCTCCACCGGCAACAAAAGAATAAGCGAAATAAATGCCTACTATTCAGACTACAGAAATGTTTCCAAACCACACATGAACGATTTTTAAAAAAATTAAACAGAAGGTAGGGCAACATTTTGAGGAGCAAAGGGAGTAACCAAAACAAATCATACTGCCCAAGCCATAGAAAGTACAAAAAGACCATAACATAAGTAGATAACCGTCTTGAAAAAAAACAATAATTTAAACTTCTATGAAAGATGGAGTATGAGTGAATGCTGACCGTTGCAGCTGGATGCGGTGTTTGCATATCAGCTGTTGACCTCTGCCCAAGCACCAATGGTTGAGAAGCAACTGTAGTCATTGGCATCGATGCCTGAAAAGAATTTTGGCTTAGAGATTGTGTCACGTACTTTGCAGGATCAACTGATTTCTGTTGTTCCATATTAATTATATTCATCCATGTTGCAGGATTCACTGCAATATCCTTCAGAATTGATTGCAAGGATGCCGAGGTGGGAGTAACCCCTGTAGCAGGAATATGCATGCTCCCACTACTGGTATTGAGCAAAGCAGAGGTTGTTACAGCATTTTCTAAGCCTCGGGCCTCACTTGTTACATTTCCTGTTCTATTTGATACCTGCATCCCTAATGAAACTCTATCCTCCAACCGACCACCAGTTTGTGAGACAGTTGCATTATCCCTAGGGTTGGAAGAATCTGCAAATTCGCTTTTTAGCCTTTTTGGTGCAGGACCATCTATCAGCACAGACTCATCAAAAGTCTTCTGTTTCCTTGAACCAGGCAATCCATCAAGTGGTTCCATTGCAGATTGTTTACTGGACAAAGGTAAAGTGCCTTGGGTGTAATCTAAAGAGCTTTCAGTATTGGCTAATCGGAGTCTAGGGTCTCTTGTTTTGTTTGGAACTCTCATCACAGAACTAGATGTGGAATACACAGGGGCAGCACTCTTAGCATTTGTAAATAATTGCACATTAGGTCTTTCTACATGGGGAATGCTAAAAGTATCTCTTCGTTCTGAAACAGCCTCTGTTACAGAGTTTGCATTCTGAACTGCTGAGAAGCTGGAAACCTCTCCACTACAATCACCACCTGCATCACCACTTTCTTCAGAAGGGGTTGGACTTGGTAGATCATTTGACAAAAATGAACTTCGTCCAAATTTCAGTTGATAAGTAGAAACCGCTTTGAGAGCATCAGTTTCATAACGATGTACTACCGCATTTTGTGTTCCAAGAAGTCCCCGAGGAGCAGGCCACTCTGGTCTTATTGCTGCATCCCCAACAAAGAGTGCTTTACCTAGAGGTAAAGCATGTGTAGTATCACGTGTTGGTGATGGAAGACTGTCCACATCATGATCCTTATGAAGGTCAAGAAGAGGAAGCAATACTCTGTTCTTGGAAGTAGATGTTTGCATTTTCAACGACTCAGATTGTTTGGGATTTTGATCTGAGGTTCCAACCGGCATGGCATCCAAGACAGAGTCCTCACTTGGAGAAGCCACTTCCTGATTAGCTATCATGGCTGAGAAAACAAAATCCTTCTGATTCACCGAGTGAGTAATCGGTATATATCCTTCCTTATAGTCCTTGGCACTTGAACAAACAACATTAGAGTTACATGACAGAAGCATTATATCTACCTGTCAAAACAAAACAATAAAGGAATCAGTATTCTATCACTACAACATAAAGTTATATGATCTGCTTTAAACCACACCTCTTTCAATTGTTCAGGTGAGAAAATAGCAGGCATGTGGCTTTTCACATTAGTCAGCACCCTGTAAAAAAGATACATTACATAGGGTATTAAAACCATGCCATACAACAATAAGATAGCAGAATATTTAAAATCTGAATGAATTGAAAATAAAGCTAGGAGAAATTAGCACGATGACAGATAAAAGACCTTGATAATAAGCGCCTACTCTGCTCCTTTTGATTTTGGCTCATGGAGCAAAACACCTGCAATCAACTACTTTTTAGCCCTCTCATCTATATGATAGAACAACAATCAAGACTAATAATATTTTGAAACAAAATGCATCTTTGAGAGGATTATTAATCTAAAAGAACAGTAATATGATGATATCTTACTGAATTAACAAGCTGGATAGCAGAAAATGCCAGCTGAACCAAATCATCTTTGATGGAGATGGAATTTTCAATAAGCATTTTTGACAAGCTGTCCAGCAAGTCCCCAAGTCTGGAACAGACTCCACCATATGATCTACAGGCAAATCATTAACGTTAATCAATTAATTGAACTTGCATCAAACGTTCAAGATTTTCAGTACCCAAATTAGTTATTTAAGTTTGCTTAATTTAATTGTAATTGCAGACTTACTTCTTTGCATCACTCACAGTTATACCCTCCAACCCAAGACGAATTACACTAATGCACTTCTCTACATTATCCTCTTCTCCTTCTCCTTGTTTACTAGACTGGACAACCTCCATATCCAAATCAATTTCACCCTCCTCCAGTTCCCCTTCCTCCTTCTCGCTAGCGTCGTCCATGCTCATATAATCATTGTTTACCATCTCTTCCTCCTTCACCTCAATATTATTATTACCAACGTCATTCAACAAGGGCTGCTTCAAGTTGTTATCAGTGGTAGTACTAGTGTTCATGGTTGTTAGATAATCATCAAGAGGTTTATTCTGAACAGCCTGTGCCCAGGCAAAATTATACAACCCAGGTGCGTAATTTCTAGAAATCTGATACTTATTCTGATACTTTAACAGATCCTGCATCGTCCAAACTTTCTGATGCTGCTGTTGCTGCTTGGAATCGTCAACGGCTGCATTCTTAGAAGCAGCAATCTCCGTCCCAATTGCCGACGACTTAGAAAAATCATCTGCACTGATCTCTTCAATAGAGGCTGAATCGGATATTTCACCTTCCTCTACATCCACATCTAGAGATACCAATAAATCTTTCCCCATTGATTTTTGTCCTTTTTTTTACAAATAGATTCGAATCGGCTATCAATCAGCTTACGTGACTACAATCCTTCCAAAGATTATACAAGACGTCTATGGAAACAAATTTCAAGTGGAAGGTCTAATCTTCACGGATCTTCCACTTAACCGAAGAAACGGGAAAAACGTAACAAATTTGAAGGCTAGGGTTTGAAATTATTTTTAGCCCTAAATGTGATGCGATTTTGAAATTATATCCCAAAATCTGAGATTTGAATGCCAAAATCAAAACCTTGATTCCATACCTTCCAAATGAAAATCAAATCAAATCAAATCGAAATCAAAAATCAAACGGCAGGCGGGGCGGAAGAGAGTGAATCGAGAGAAGACCGATAAAAGAGAGGAGCAGAGAGTAACGAAGGAGGCGAAGAGGAAAAATTAAAAGGAAAGAAAAGCGGGGGGGTGGGGGTGGGGTAGACTCCTATCAGATCTAAGCTGGAAACTCATATGGGATCTTGGCCGTACACGTCAGCGATTCAAATAGGGGTTGAATCTAGGAAGGGATGAACGTAAAACATCATGTCTTCGTGAAAATTTCTTAAACAAACCCTCATCTTTCTACTATTTACATATCAGTCCCTGAAAAACATATTCCTATACTTTTTGCTTTAACATTGTTTAGGTACACTAATATTTGGTCAGATGTAACATTCTATGTATGTTATGTAACTATTAATTCCCTAATTATATATATTCACAAGATTACATCTATAATATCTTCGAGATCGGGAAGTAATCAACTAAAGAAAGAAAGTCACGTTTTAATGATTATGACAATAAAAAGGTGATTGGGTCGAAGAAGAAAACCTAAATCTACGATGTCGATTATGAATTAGAATATGAACCCCTTATAATTAACTAATAGATTATAGGTTAAACGACTTACCATAACGGTTCAAAGCAGGGGCAAATTTAGGAAGGACACATGGGGTTGTACACCCGCGCAACCGATTTCCGTAAGCAGAATGTTTTTTTAGGTATGAAAGATGTACACACTCAACATAGAGGGGTGTTCTCACATATTAGAGAATACAATGAATATCAACCAGAAATCCGAAAAAAAAAGTCCCTCTAAATCAACAACAAAAAACCGAAAACGTCTATCTAAATCAACAAAAAAAAAACGTAACAAGTTCCATTTAAATTAACCAAAAAAACTGAAAAAATCACTCAAAACAATGGAATACGACTAAAAATGCATCATTTTTTTTAATAAAAGCTATATTTTATTAATACAACCGATATCATACAATTAGATAAAGGTTCAAATGAGAATAATAATTAAATAAAAGAACACGAAAACGATTAAATACATTAATAGTCGATGAAAAGTTGTGTCAGGCGAGGTCAACGGTTAAAGTTGCGTGAATCACATGTGATTTTAAATGTAATGTTAATATAAAATCACATGTAATTCACGCATTTTTTATTCTCTTATTTGATTACTATTATCTTATAAACCTGACTTCATATAATTATTAGTATATATAGATATATACATATATAGACTTGGGATCATGTGAGACCCCAGGTTTTTCGTGAGACCCGTAAGACCAATTTTCAACCCTTGGATTAGATCTACAATATGATAATCTGAACATTCATAAACGTCACGAGACTTCTCAATAATCACAAAATTGTCACCCTGCAACTTTAGACCATTAGATCATTAGTTTATAAAGTTGATCAATGAACATAAATTGGTCTTACGAGTCTCACGAAAAACTCTGGGTCTCACGTGAATCCAACCCTATATATATATATATATATACATGTACTATATAAGTATTATATATATATATATATACATGTACTATATAAGTATCTAAAACGTAGCATCTCTCCACCTTTTATGTAAAAATATATATTTTACAACATTACTTTTAGGGTTAATAATACAAAAGGCCACCAATGCATACTAAAATATTGATGTTGTTTTGCATAAGTCCAACCAAAAGTGGATGCATGTGTAGACTTTTAGAAATTTATATTTGGACACTTGAAGTTTAAGTAACTGACAAAATTAGTCCTTCATATTATTACTAGAGATGATCTTGGCCAACAAACAACATCCATGATATCAAATTGAAGCTCAAGCATTGATCTCGAAACGCATGTCAAATATCAAGTTGTTTGTAGAGTAGATGTTATAATATTTTGTATTGATCGATAACGTTTAACCTTGTTATTGGTATTTAATTGTCGACCATAATGTTTATTAGTTTAGGGGTTGTTCGTTTTTTTATTAAGTCTTGTATGAATAAAGTTATTTGTAGTGATAAAGTTGTTTGTATGATAACTGATAAGTTGCTGTTCGCTTCTTATGCTGAATAAATCGTCTGAATAGTGAAAAATACTATTTTACCCTTTTTTTACATTGAAGGAAAAATCAATACTAAGCAATTATTATCCCCAATACCTATTTCAAAACTTGGTCCATACTTTCAATCATAAATCCTAACTACAAATTAACTCCTGAAGGCGATTATGTGCAGAGGAGGGTTACCTTGGGGTGTTCTTCGCAGAGGTCCTCGGCGTTAGAGTAGAAAGAGAACCTAAAAATTGTCGGAGAATTGGAAAGCATTTTCCGATGAAGCTTCTTGTCGTGTGTAAGAATGTGAGAAAGAGGGATTTTGACTTCGCCGATGACAATAGACTGGTTTTATTTTGAAAGAAGGAAATGGGAGCTTATTTATCACAATGGTAGGAATGGAAAGAGGAGGGCGGAGCGTATATGACTCTACTCAAAGGGTTGAGCGAATAAGCCCAATTCTGAATCAATAAGTCATTTTCGAACAACAATGTATGGCTTACCGAATAAGCCATACATGTTATACAACTCATTAAACTGTCACCGAACAACCCCTTAGTCTTCAAACATACCACTTAAGGCATGCTAAATCCCTCAAATTGTACGTATATACTTGTACTCACACCGTAAAATTTGATAATATATAATTTAAATACTATTTGGTTTGTTTTTCAAATTGTCTGAATGATTTGTATTGAGCTTCAGATTTGAAATTGAATTTGACATTTATCACTTTTTTTAGAAAGAAAAGGAAGCAACACTTGAGGTGAAGTTTGGTTTATATGACGGAATTTGTCGAAATTGTAATTTGTTAAAGGACTTGGAATATATGAATTGTAATTAAATTTAATCATGTTTGACCATACATTTGGTTGGTAGGAAATTGAATGAAATTTTTGTCAAAAAAGTTTGAATATGTCTGTTTGGTTCGTTGAATATAATAGTGGTGGTAGCATGGAGGCGGTAGTAATGTCGATGGTAGTGGCGGTGGCGATGGTGGTAGTAGTGGCGGTGTAGACACTGGTGGTAGTGACCGCAACAATGGTGGGAGGGGGGGTGAAAGCGATAGTGGTAACGACGGTGATGGTGGTGGTGGTGKCGATGATGGTGGCAATGTTGACATCCATTGTGGTGGAATAGGATGGAACAGAATGAAGTAAATGTGATAGTATAATTTTTTTTTTCAAGAATATGGTACAAAGGAATTAAAATTCATTGATGGTATAATTTTTTTTTGTAAGAATAAGGGTGGTGCCTGATTGGTTTGAGTTTGATTCCAAATGTCAAAAGTACCAGAAGGTCTCAGGTTTGAATCCACGGAGGAATAAAAATCCCCTTGTGGCCATGGAGGTTCAAATGCGGTGACTCCGGACTATCTGCAAAGCAGGTAGTCGTCCTGGGATTAGTCGGCTCACATAACGGGTTGGATATCCAGGTTAATTAAAAAAAACACCAAACAAAATACACTCCACTATATGTGGAATTCGAATTCCTTACTAAAACTTAAAGATGAACCAGACATAGGTACAAAATTTGGTCAATGAAATTGAACATTCCAGTTGTTTCAAATTCCCTCGGATTTCAACGAACCAAACGCCATCTTAAAAAACGTTTTGTTTGCAGAATGGAATTCGATGGAATTGAAATCAATAAAAGAATTTTTACTTTGAAAAAATTGAAATGAAAAATGGTTAAAATTTGACCATAGATTTGATTAAATGGAATTGGAATTTTTGGGATATCATCTGGAATGGTGAAAATTTTAATCTAAGGAATTCAAAGGAATCCAACATTTTCAATAAGCGAACTAAACAAAGAAATTCAAATTTGGTAAAAAAAAATTGACCATTCTAATTCATTTAAAATCCTTTAAATTCAATGAACCAAACAACACTTAGCTATGTTTGGCAAACTAGCTGATAAGCTGGTTGATGAACAAATTATGTTTGATAAAAACTAGACTATAAGTAGGTAAAATGACTAAAAAGTGGATTTTCAAAAATAGTCAATTAATAATATAATTCATATAAATTTATAATAATATAACTAAAACAAATTTCTAGAAATATAATATGTTAACTAATACAAACAATATAGTAAATAAAAAAAATTAAATAATATAATACGTTATTGAATGAATTTAAAATTAATTATATATATATATATATGTGTGTGTGTGTGTGCGCGCGTAAATTTTGAATTTGTTAAAAATAAATTTTAGAAAAAAGTCTATATTAATCTATGATTTTAAAACATGAATAACAATAAAGTCCGTCAATCTCACATATCCTAATTAATTAATATCTTTTAAAAATATAATTAATAATTAAGTAATTTATTAAAATTATGTAGCATATTTTATTATCTATGAAATAAAATAAATATAATTTTAATTTTTATGTAACTTACATAATATTTTTAGAATTGTTTAAAATTTTATAAGTAATTAATAATTGTTATTAATACCTATCGTATAATTAAAATCAAATAATAATGTATAATCAAAATCAAAATTAAAATTAATTAATAATTTTAAGTACTACAAATATAATTAATATTAATCAGAGTTGTAATTGAAAAAAATTTCAAAAAGTTTCTCATAAGCTATTTCAAGTAGTTTTTCAATAAGCTAACTTATATCTATACAAACGATTACTCAAAAAATAATTTAGCTTATATTTACCAAACAATGTCCGAGTGTTTTCAAAATCTTTAAACTTGAAAGTAAGAGGTCGAATTTCCAAATCACAATATATCACGATATTTTATTTACATTACATTTTTTTATTGATATTTAATGCAATATTTCCATCACCTTTTGAGTTTTGATTGTGTTGCACGTTGATTATTCCAAAAACAATAACTTAAATAAAAATTAAAAACTACATATTCACCGTCTTCTAAATGTTTGTGACAACGCAATACATCATCACTATTATGTTATAAACATTTATC